ATCTTATTTCCATGTTTCCTTGCATGCTTTGTATACATCACTTGGTTGCCAGATGTTGTTATTTAACATTTTGCCTGGTGCACATTTCTGTGTTCCTGTAAACACTCCCAAGCTTTGTTCTGGGGTTAAGGTGATTTACATGGAAACAGTTTGGTCCTTTTGAGTGTTGCTCCCATGGAACATTAAGTGAAATTCAATCAGTACTTAATCTTTGATTGTTTTTGCCTAAGCAAAACATCCCTTTGATTCCTCTGCCAATTTTCTGTTATATCTGGAGGGAAATGTAATGATTTCCAGACACTTGAGCTACTAGTTTCTTTGATAATTGTATCAGGCGGCCTTTCTCCAACTTAACAAGTTTCCTTCACCTGTATGGATTGATCATTAAGCTGTAGGGAAGGCTCTGGTGAGCTTTGCAGATCCTTATAACTCTCCCCAAGTCCCCCTGCACTTTCCAGGAAGTGACCCTTCATCTCCCCTTTGCTGGGTAACTCCAAACAGTTAGCCTCCTGTACTTTGTTCAGTTTTATGATTATTTCAACACACAAATGCTGCCTACTATTCCATTTTGTCTAGAAGAAATCCAAATCAATTAATTTGAATTTCTACTTTCATATGGGTAAATAAATATATGTATGAGAAAGAAAACCAATTACTCCTATTTTGGAGATAATTAAATATAAGTCTCATGCTTATAGCAGCATTTCTTTTTAAGGCAAAGATCCAGTTTGTGCCCAATAATTACTATTTTCATTTTACTTTGTCTCCTTTTCCAGTCATATTTGTATGGAGAACAGTTTATCAGGGCACTTTTAAAGGATGTTAAACCACTTTAAAGCAAATAAGCTAACTATTTTAACTTTTCTTATACAAATATGAATATATATTTTTCATCTATAAATTATTAATTATTTTCAGTGGACTCTGATAATAAGCTCAGCTAAAAACTTAGGAAGTCAGGACAGTATTTAAAGACTAACTCACAGGAAATCTACATTGGTTCACTAATTATGACCAGTGTCAGAACCAATATAATCTATTACTAATAAATGCAGATTCAATAAAAATCCATATTACTTTCAATAATTTTTCAATAAATCTGAACCAGTTGTAAAATAAAATATTTGACGAAGACAATGGACTAACTTTTTAACTATTAACAAACCAAAAAGATTTGTTTATTTAGCATCCTTATAGGTTTCTCCAACTAGGACTTATGTAAGTTA